AAAATATTATGATAAAGGCTTTTGTATTTAGAACAAGAAAGTCTTGCTCATTATAGATAATGCTAAATCTCATAGTACACCAGAAACATTCGCTTCTTCTGATAATATCAATAACAATAGAGATCAAGAGCCTAAAGACAATAAATCAGGTTTTGAATATAAAAATAGTAAAATTTCTATTTCTGAGAGCAGTAAAAATAGTGAAATTTCTAATTCTGAGGGTAATGAGGATGATCAATCTAATTCTTAATCTCATGGAAGGGCTCGCAGAAGGATATGTGGAAGGACTTGCAGAAGAACTCATGGAAGGTCATGTGAAAGACCACGAACAACTTTGGATGAAAGATCTAGTAAAAAATTGCGTAAAGAACAAAACTATATCCCTGGCAAATTCAAGCTCATGAACATTAAATTGCATTATCTTTCACCTAACACAACCACGCATCTCCAGCTGATGAACACTGGTATTATTAAATCTTTCAAATCTAAGTACAAAAACCTCTATTGCAAACATATTCTTAAGCAATTTGAGTCTAATATTGATTTGGAAAAGTTAGTAAATTCTTATATTCTATGATTTTTGTATTAGGAAAATCTGTATTAGGTTAGTGACATAGACAAAATTTTTAAAGTTCATTAATATTAGGGCTAGCATTTAGTATAAGGTTAAAGTCTAAGTGGTTATATAGTAAAATTGCTCAAAGAAAACTTTTAGAACACTAAAAGTAGTTTATTATGCAGATTTTTGAGAAAGAAGCGAAACAAACATTTTGTTATGAAATTTTCTGATCTTGTTACGTTATACTTGATTCCTGAAATCTTACATATTTGTAGATCAGAAGATCTATGTTACTAACCTAGCACAAATTTTTCGAATGTATGACTTTATTGGTTTGATTTATTTTATTAATTCAATTTTTTTATTTACAGAAATAAGCTAAATGTGAAGCAAGTGATAGATTTTATTGCAGAGTCATGGTATGATATGACTGATGTAACCATTTAAAATTGCTGGAGTAAGATAGGAATCCTTTCAGATATAAGTGAGGTAGAGATAGAAATTACAAGTCAAGAACCTGAAAGTGATTTTTTAGATGATGATGTTGCAGATATTGTTGTAGATTTGTTGTCACATAATGATCCCGAAGCTTCTAAAGTTGCTCAAGCTATAGAAAAATATGTTCAAATAGTTGATGAATCTGTTGCGACAGAAAATGCTCAATGAAGAGGAAATAATTAGCATGGTTCAAGCTGAAGAAAATGAACAAGAACAAGAAAGTGGTGACAATGAAGAGTCTTCTCCTCCTCCTGTTATAGCTAAAGAAGTGTATAACGCAATACAAAGTGTTTTATGATATGAAGAGTAAACTAATTCAGAATTTAACCTTGAGCTTGCTGAACTGGAGTTTTTGCGGAAGTTAAGTAATAACTACAGGCGTGCATATAGAAAGTCCAAAAAACAAATGCCAATTACAACTTTTTTTGCCTCTGAATATTAATAAGTCTTGTACTGAACCATTGAGATTTATTAAATATATTTAGCTAATTACGCATTTAGTTTTATGTGTTTGAACTTTAATACTGTACAAATTAATTTTTTGAATACTGTGGTGAGGAAAATGAATCTAATATTAAATGCTAAAATCCCTATTTTATAGTGTGCCTTTTACGTCTCTATATAGGGTAGTTGTTAAAGGCTTTACTGCCAGTACACAAATTCATGCAAAATACTGAAATTCTTGTTTGTTTGACAACTTTTATTGGATATGAATTCTAAATTCAACTTGAAGTTTTTAGATGTTGCTAGAAAAAAAAAATAGGTTACATAATTGCTGTGTAAATCACTGTGAATAATATTATACGAATGAATTAATTGAGAATCAAACATGATAAAGTTTTAATTTTCCCGCTTCATTTGTGTGATCGTGTAAAGATTTTGATGTAAAAATTCTATTCGTGCATATTTTTTACTTCCAATAAGTATTTAATTTATACATTAAAAAATCGTTATGTAGGGCGTATATTCATCATGCCTGGACAACAAATGCGTCCAAAGATCGTTTAATAAATGAAACAGGAATCTAAAACGTAACATTAAATATTTACCGCTTTTATGAGTTTCTCAGCTATTTCTTGATATATAAAATAATTTAAATGCAACCATACTGATATTGCCGTATGTT